CGCCACTGCTGCCGCTGGCGCGACTGCTGGTGCGGGTCTCTTCACTGCGGCTGTCTACTCTGCCAAGGAGAAGGCTGCTGAGGCTACTGGCATGAATGAGCCCAGCACTTCCACTGCTGACGAGGTTCCGTCTATCGTTGCCGAGAGCCAGAACACAGCACATGCGGAGCCCGAGGCCGCAGCCAGCCCTGAGGCTGTTGCTGAGAAGTCCGCCATGGAGCAAGAACTTCTTAGCGAGGTACCCAAGACCAACGAGACTGGTCTCCCGGCTCCCGCCATTGCCATTCCCGCCGTCGTCTCTGAGAGCCAAAAGGAGGCACACGCAAGCCCTGAAGCAGCATCCAGCCCCGAGGTCGTCGCAGAGAAGACTGCCATGGAGTCTGAGCTGTTGCGCGAGGTCCCCAAGACCAACGAGGCCGGCGAGCCAGCCCCCGCCGTTTCCGCTGCCACAGCCACTACTGCTCCTGCTGCTACTTCTGAGACCGTCTCCAGCGACGTACCCGAGGTTGTCGCTGACAGCCAACATGAGGCACACGTTAGCCCCGAAGCCGCTGCCAACAGTGAGGCCGTAGCAGAGAAGTCGGCTGTCGAGTCTGAGCTACTCGACAAGCTCCCAAGATCTGAGGAATCTGGTGAGCCTGCTCCTGTACTGACTGCGGCAACCACCGAGACCGCACCTGCTGAGACCACATCTGCTGCTGCGACTGCTGCAGGAGCTGCGGTTGCTGCGACCGCTGTTGCCGGTGCAACTGCTGCTGTCGTAGCCGGCACTACCAGGGAATCAGTCAACGAGTCCGTTGCTCGTGATGTTCCGGATGTCGTCGCCGAGAGCCAGAAGGAGGCACACGTCAGTCCCGAGGCCGCTACCAATGCTGAGGCTGTCAGCGAGAAGCGGGCTATGGAGACTGAACTTCTTCAAGAAGTGAAGTCAACTGAGGCTACCGGCGAGCCAGCTCCCAGTGCTGCTGTTGTAGGAAGCCAAAATGCTGCTGGTCTCTCCGATGAGGCCCTCGTCGATACTAAGCCACTCAAGTCCTCCAGCGAGCCCAACGCACTCAACGCGCCCGCATCGGAGCCCGCTCAACCGCCAACCTCCAAGCCCATCGACTCTACTACCGAAGTCGCATTCAACAAGCAGGAGCCAACTACCACCGAGCAGACCCAGCCGACTGTCACCACCGGCGTAGAGACAACCAAGACCGAGGCCACCAGCTCTGCCCCAGCCGCACAGCTGGCCCCAGAGAGCCCCGCCAAGAACCTCAGGAAAGACTCGGACGTCTCTCCCAAGGGCACTCCAGGCAGCCAGAGCATCGCTTCTGGTGCTGACGATAAGAAGAAGAAGCGCCGCTCTTTCTTCGGCAAGATCAAGGACAAGCTATCCAGCAAGGACAAGAACTAGATGTTTCATCTGTCTTTTCTCGGTACTCTGAGGCCATCTTCATCCATCACGAGGGTCTTTGGAGCTTGGTAATACCCGGGGTTCATGCGCTGTGCTTTCTCACTCTTCCTCTTCATCGTTCGCCACGGAGTTTGTGCTTTTGGTCTATACCATTTTCCTTCCTGTGTCTGACATGTTCCATAGCAATCTGTTGCGTCGTTTCTGTTCATATGCATCTCGAGACGTAAGAGAACGTGGGTAGACGGAAGAGATTGCACTCATAGTATACCTGGGTTGCTCGAAATAAGTTGGCCACCGATGTCGAAACGTGGGGTATTGGCATGCCAGCGGGATTGTATTTAATTTGCTAATGACGATGCGTTAGATTCGCTTCACACTAATCTCATCTCAAAATCTCTACCGCCTGCCACATTCATCATCAACTATTGACTTTCACAACGCACGAACGATCATCGATGTCGTAGCATCACTCGTCCACAGCCCGTCACTATCGAGCACCTGAATTCACTATACGCGATGTTCGTATCGCACTGTGCACATACCATGGCGCCTCCCTCCGTCTATACAACTTGCCTCCCATAAACATCCATACGATTCTAACGTACCACACACAGGAACAACAACCCACAGTAACTACACTGCTCTACTACTCCAACAACGTCAAAGACTCAGTTTCGAACACATCGAAACAAAGACTAAAGTAGACACCTTCCACCAACCCAACCCAACAATCACGGCCGCTCAACGCTATGTCGTTCTACGGTTTTGCTCATGGCGCCGACCGCCATGACACAGGCTGCACTCTTCAGCAGTCACCTCAACCACGCAACATCTCCCGTCACATTCGCAATCACAGCGAAGGCTCCCAATACCGACCCACGCACCATGCCAGAGTTCGCTCTCGTTATGGAGCTGCAACGGAATTAACGCAAATGATCGATGACCATGCGGCAACATGGCAATCCCTTATCGCACCTGCTCAGGACAATCGGCCAGCTAGTCAGGGCACTATGATCGTCGATTGGGATGGTAATATGAAACCGATCGTTCACTACCGAAGGAAGTCACAGGAGGAGCAGGACCTTGCGGCACTGAATAGGTCATCAGCACAGCCTCTGCCTTTGTCAATCCGACGCGGTGTCCAGAACATGGATCCAATCATGATGGCGCACGAGCAGAAGCCACTGCCATCGCTACCCACCGAGAGACAAACACGTCTTCACTCTCACATTCGGACATCCGAGGAAAGTGATCGCACGTCGTCGGAATCACTGTCTTCTCATAATTCTTCGCGCCACGACTCTGTCATTTCCGATGACCAGCCTTCACCCCGCCGCCGCCTCGACCTGCATGTCCGGACATCTCAGAAAGTCCCTACGACCCCAGCCCCCTCATCGTCAAAAACACCCATCTACGAACAACACAAGTGTATCAATATGGTAAATGGGATACTAACCTACTATCCCTCTCGCGTCTCACAAATCAGCGGTGTGCCTCGCCCGGGCTACGTCAAAGGCTATGACAATGACACCAAGATCCGATACGAGACCGATGGCCAGTCATTCTACGCGCACCGCAGTGCTGAACAATTATTCTCACCCATATCCGACCACTTTGACATTAATGAGGATCAGTGTAGTCAAGAAGGCGAGCCGCACGTTGAAGATCAAGGAATCACTGCTCTACCGGCTAAACAAGTAAAGAGGAGGAGTAGTGTTACTAAGCTGGTGGAGAAGGTACTCTCCAAACTTGACGGGCTGGGCCTGACGAAGAAGCTCAAGGATGAACGGAAGAGTAATAAGAAGAAGCAAAGTTGGCGGGAGCATGGATATCATGATTGACAATTAAAAAATGGATTTGAAAACGTACTTTTAGGATCTACTCTGCTCAAAGTGATGTTTGATTAGCTAACAGGAAGACAGGATACTGTTGAGTGAGTATGCGTGGGAGTGACTGGAAATGACTCATTGTGGCTTGAGGTGGCTGCGCCGAGGATAGCTTGGCACGTAACTTGGTGGTCGCCAGTACTCCCCGGAGCAGTCAGTGTGAACTGATTTACTTATTTAAGACTTGAATGCCTGGGTACATCGATTGGCTAGAGCAAAGCCGATCACATTCCCGCCTTCATACGAGAGGTACTTTCCTACCTTCTCAGCCAAGAGCCACCTACCTCTTCTCCACGCAACCCTAACAACAAACAACTACACAGACAATCTCAGAGATGACATCGGAATCGCGGACAGCGTTTCTTTGCAACACATGTTCTCTTTCTTTCACAAGCAGTGCGCTACAGCGTGCACACATGCATCAACCCTGGCAGTAACATCATCCCGAGCATGTAGACGCGGAAGTGGTTGGACTGACGTTTTGTGACAGTATCCACAATCTCAAAAGGCGCATCTCTGAACTGCCTGCTTTATCCGAGCAAGACTTTAGAATGCTGGAAGGCAAGAGCGAGGAGGTCACGCATCGACAGAGAAAGAACGACGATGCTCTGATACGGAAACCTCGAACAACTGTTGTGCACAATATCAGCGGACGCGGTACCGACTCCGAACCACCGACATCAGATACACAAGACGACTATTCGGAGACTTCGTCCTCAACAAGATGTCTCTTCTGCCCCTCTGCCTCTCCCACCCCAACTACAAATCTAGACCACATGTCAACACAGCACAGCCTCTTCGTACCCGCGCCTTCGCAACTCTACTCTTTGGAGTCTTTTCTCTCGTATCTGGCCGTTGTGGTTTACAAATACCACGAGTGCCTCTACTGTGGACAAGAGAAGGGAAGCGTAGATGCTGTGCAGACGCATATGCGGGACAAAGGGCACTGTATGATTGAGATGGCTGAGCTGATGGATTTCTGGGATGCGGAAGTGAAGGAGGGAGGTAGCGAGGATGGAAAATACAAGATGACCGCCGAGACGCATCTACCATCTGGATTAGCCACTACCCCCCGGCGTAGCAATAGCGCAGATGAGACGTCATCAGAAGCTGCCAACCCCAGTTTCGCACGTGCGCATCGCCGCGGTGCAAGACACCGAAATACGAAACCCGCCATTACTGCCGCCGAATCTTCAACCTCCCAACAACCTTCTGTCACACATTCACAGCCCGGTCATCTATCTTCATGTCACACCAGCAACGATCCCCACCGCAACCTCACTACCATCCCGCGTGAGGCAAGAGGTTTGACCGGCGTGTCCGACCAACAACTCCGCACTCTTCAGATGGTGGATAGGAAAATGAAGAGCAGAGAGGAGAGCGCAAAGGCCAAAGGAAGGTATGCGTCTCAACAGCAGCCGGTCAAGACTGTTTATTATAAGACCGAGAATCCTGTGTATCAGGCTGGGTGATCGGATGGGGGTGGATGTATGGAATATGATGATTTTTCACGCAGTGGGTTGAGGACTACGAACTTGCTGGCAACTGCGTAGTGAGGCGTTGAGTTGGTCTAGGAGGTATTCGCTGAGGATACGGAGGGTGGATGTTAAGGTCGAAAATGTATGTAGACTGCAAGAGCTATAATGAAGAGCAATCTTAGAAGATGAAAATGTGTTGAAGGATGCCAGGCTTACTTGTGTACTGAGCCATTTCGTCTACTGTATGCCTGACCCGGAAACTATTCACCAAGTGTACAGAGCAAGATATATGTCCTCACAAGCCTATGTAGGCGGCAAACACCCTCATAATGAGCCACCGAAGCACCCAAAGTACCCTGAAGGGAGCAACGCATACCCGGATATCTACATACCAGACTCAGCCCTCTTCACCCACAAGTCCAGATCAGCGCTATCAAGAATGCAAATGCCTTCATCGATGTCCATCTCATCTTCATCGCCATCCACGTACAATTCCTCGATGTCGTCCTCATACGACTTGTCAGGCTCGTCCAAGCTCATGACGTTGAAGTCGCTCAGATCGCCAGTTTCGATTAGCGTCGCTTGCGAGCCGATGTTGCGGGCTACGTGCATGTCGACGACTCAACTCTAAAGCGGAGCACTTATCTTACTGTGCTCTTAGATGCGCGAGGGCTTTGAGTAGAATGCCCCCAGCGCCAATTCAAGAGGTAACGACGATGACAACATATAAGTGATGCGTTGATGACATCTACCTTTCGATAAACCCGAGAAGTACTCGTGGAAGGTATTGAGGGTAGGCAATGGTCTCATAAACCTATGTAGATGGAAAAGCTTCTACCCAACAGTTCCGCCAAACACTTAAAGTGGCTTGAGGAGTGCCAGGCATACCTATCTCTACACGTTTTTCCAGTCATACCACGATGTCAAGTCCACACTCGCCATAGCCTTAGCACCACCTCCCTCCTTTACCATTTCATCCAAGCCCTTCTCAAACCCCTCACCTGGCTCCTCCACTCCAGATACCTTGAGTTCTTCGCCGCCCTCAACAGCTTCTTTGTATTCTTCACCCTTAGCACCATCACCCTCACCCAACACCCTCACACCAGGCATCCCCTCAATCAGTCCCTCTAGCAACGCATTCCCAGCACAGACCTTCTTAATCCTACTGTCGTCATACTCGAACAACGGCGGCAGTACACGTTTATACACAAACGGCACATCGCCCTGCGGTACCGACGGCGTAGTCTTCTTCTTTCCCCTCTTTCTCTTCTTAGTCAACACCTTCTGCGCCATCTCATTCATCTGATCTTGACCGCCCTTGAAGCAGAAGTCGAACAAGGCGCGTGTCGGGGGAGGTACTTGGGCCCAATCTGGACATGCATTGCGTGCTTCGGCGAGGTACGTAGTCAGCTTCGCCCGGACATATTCATTGCGTGCGTCGCCACTGAGGACGATGAAATCATCGGGGTTGTCTTTAAGCATTTGGACGAAGGCGAGCTGGTGCTTTGTGGGATTTGCGGGGTCGAAATGGGCGCCGAGACTGGGATGCTGGACATATTCCATGCAGGCTAGTGTGTAAGCCTGTAGAACGGCGTTAGTGAAGTGATAGCCTAAGGTCTCGAGAAGACATACCGCCATCATGGGTGTGTCAGTCTTGTTGAGCAGTGACACCAGATTGACCAATAGCCGAACACGCGTTTGCTTGAGGTAGCGGGAGAAGCACATATGACGATTGACGTTGGAAGTGAAGTAGGCGAGTATGGTTTGAACTGGCCATTCTGACATGGGGGTGAACGATTGCATCGCCCGCGCGATGGCGCCGCGGTGCTTGAGCTGACCGGCGAATGTCGCGCCTTCTGCGACATCAGCACTATGTAGTCGTTAGTATGAGCAAGTTATTGACTGGAATTGGGAATAAGAGACAAGACTTACACTTCATAGGGAAAGTACTGTTGCTGCGGAGAAGGAGATAGAATGGCTTTAAGCGGCAACGTCTGCTGGGCGCGGAGGCCGTTAGGTACTCTGTCGGTCTTGCGGCGGAGAAGCTCTTCAAGCGCCGTCATATCTTCAGGTGTCAAGTTTTGCGACATCTTCTCGGTATCTTCGGTGTTGTCGTCCATGTTGGTGGCGGAGTGTAAGCGGACAGTGTCGATCGCAGTGAAGAGAACGCGGAGAGCGCACTTTACGCGACTGACTAAGACCTTAGGGGAGTAAATGACGCGATGAAGCAAACATTGGGCGGAGTCACGGGATGAAACTGGACAGAGTCCATCGGGAAAGCGGAGAACCCGGGCTACGCGGTCGTAAAATGCGACAACACGCCTCAATATTGGATGGGCAGCACTATGGAATGAATGTGAGATCAAGTTGAGAATCATCGAAGTAGAAATGCTGTACACGCAACTCTCCCAGCATATGTGCTTCGTTCGTGACTATGGCGGTTGAAATTGACTCTTAGCAAGCTATATAGCGGACGAAATTCCCACCCATTACCGTGAAGATCTACCAACAACCTAAGCATCTAGACCTACTGTCGCCGAGTATGTATCGACGCCAATTCTATCTCCAATAGTCTGTTCCTTGTCCGAACAGTGTTGTAGAGAACCAAAATGCTGCTCAATCGAAGTTCAGTGTGACGACGTCGCCGAGGCGGGAAAGATCGACCTCCGGCATAGTCAAGACATGCAAGACAGGTCGAGCTGGGCCCTCTACCGGTGTGACATCCATTCCGATGTCATTGGAAACCTTCAAGCCATCGAGCCCGTCAGCGATGTCGTCTACAACCAAGATATCGACAGTCTCGTAGGTACGGATACCCTGCATAGCCTTCAAGAGGCCCGTCAAGATGCGATAGTCGGCGGTGAAGGGTTGGTACTTGGTAACATCGAGCTCGATGACACTGGTAGGGCTGACGCCAGGAATGTTATCCGGCTTGTCATTCTTAACGATGTGTTCAGCTTCGAAGAACTCGATGAGAGCCGGTCCAATCTCAGCCAGCTTCTGGTGTCGGACGTTGTGGGGATCGAAATTGGCTTCAATGGACTTCCACGACTCGACTAGCTGGCGCATATCCTTCAAGATAGCCTTGTTACGGTTCTGCGTACAGATATCGAAGTCTTTGGGGCTCTGCAGCAGCTCGTGGATGAAACGCTCGCGATAGTGTGTTGGCTTGAAGCCGCGATCTTGAATGCGCTTGTTTCCGTTCTCTTCCGCGCAGGCGAGCATGTAGACCTTCTGGACGTTGGTGGCCCTGTTCTCGTATTTGGCGTACGCGGCGAGGTAAAGGCGAGCGCGGGTCTGTCGAAAGTAGCTTGAGAAGCTGATGTTGTCGTTGCTGTTGCTGCAGAAGTAGGCCAAGGCGGTCTCGAAGCCCCATTGGCCCATCGGGACGCGGTTCTTGATGTTGTACTTCACTTCTCCGCGACGGAAAAGCACGCCTGCTAAGGTGGCGCCCATGTTGACTTGCATGGCAAGCGGATGACTAGCAGGAATTGTCAGCGCTCTCCACGACCACATCTCGGGGAATGCGATAATGCTTACTCTTGATAGGGATACATGTTGTTGACGCCATTCGCAGCGAGGATCTGGTCGAGCGTGATATTAGGATAGAGAGCCGGTGAGACCTTGATGAGTTTGCGGCGAAGTACCTCACGCAGGAGCTGGTACTCAGAAGGCTCGCCGACACGTCTGACAAGGGCTGCAGGGTTAGACATCTCCAGGAATAGATGTTGTAGGAAGCTAGCAGGGTGTGTTGGGGGGAAAGGTGTCGCGGAGGATATTTGTTTCCAGAAGATACAGGCTAGCGGGAACACTAAGGTAGAGAGATAGTAGGAAGGTGAGTGAGCGGGTAGTCGGCAGGTGAGAGGGTGGGTAACATAGTGAAGGGAACACGGTAGCTGCCTATTTGCGATGCCTTCACTTCGCTTAGCTGGGCAAAAAAGAAAGGGCAAAAAAGAAGATACACCGGTGTCTTGTTCCCAGATCCATATCTAGGGTGTATGTATTGGTTTTAAGAACTCCGAAGAGTATTAAGGTAAGGTGGGGTTTAATGCCCAGGTCCTGACTTGAGAGAGAAACACGTATTTCTGCTCCCAGGTCACCACTCAGCCCAAAGAATGCAACTCGGTGTTGCAAACTAAGGGCTGAGTGGTTGGACCTGGGCTCGAACGTGGATAGTCAGCGAGGTTTTTCATTTTGGGGGGGACACTTAACTAATGGTGTGTACCAACCTACGACACGAGGCAGGCTTTACGGAATAATTGTATTACTCTCAAACTATAGCAATTATATACCCAAGGTAAGTACAGATTCCTATATCCAGATCCAAATTCGATATCGCTGTGTTGAGAAATGTGCGTGGCAAACAGGCGCGACTCCGCTCTCACTCACTGCAAACGACCCCACAATAGCGGTATCAGCGCGGCTGCCTGGTGTGAAGCGGGAAGCGCACGACCTGACTTGAACAACTCTGTCCTGCAAGGTGTGCGATGTTTCTCTATCGTTCGTCGCCACGTGACGCGCGACCGAGGCGTCGCTCCCGTGCTCTTAAAAGCAGTCGTGGGGCTCTCCTCACACCTCGTCAAATGAAGATTGCCTCAGTGGCAGCCGAGCGGACACCGTAGGCGACAAGTGCCATGTATGGGTCAGGTGAGGTTTGACGGAAAGGAATTGGACGTTGAAATTTGCATACGACGAGGCTAATGGATGTGCGAATCCTGATGGGAGATTGAGAAAGCAGACCACTCATTTCGCAATGATTTGATGAAGATATAAAAGGCTGAGATGATGTATGATGTAAAGAAATGATGATAGTAGATGCGGAGACCTCTCAAAGTGACTTGGTTGGTGAGGCAGCGCGTATCATCACGCGCATTTACACAATAGCAAGACACTAGGGAGACGTGACAACAGTGATAGAGACAAACTCTAGCATATCTAGGAGGCATGAAATAGATTCGCAAGATATTTGTGGGTGAGAGACACGAACAAGATAGAGATGTGCGATAGATGGAGTGGACGAGGAGGATGCGGTGAGGTTTGAAGCTCTGACGTTGTGAAGAGACGCGTCAAACTTCGCGCACCACACCATTTCGGGAACGGCAGCCGACATCCTCCACGTGCACCTTCCACGAACACTTCAATCAACTTTACCCTTACTATTGTCATCACTATGGGAGCTACGTCTCGATATAATTTGATTCAGTGGGCTCTTCTGACTTCTCGACTTACTTCAGCTCCTTTGCAACCTTCCAATACAACCAGTCATCTGCTCCCTCTTCTAAAGCACACGCGTTAAGATAGTCCTGCCGAATCCCATATTCCCGCCGACTAGTCTGGCAGGAGTAGCTAATGTATAGATCTGGGTCAATGATTCTGTTCTTATTGCCTGCAATGTACTGATGGCCGAAAACTGCGGAATGATCGGCTTGAACGGCCAACCCGGCAGAGGCCACCTGAAGTTGCCACGCATGTGCTATTGAAGCTTACTCCGAGAGATTGCAGGATCTTAATCACAGCGTCAGCCAACATATCGTGGCGGTTGGCATGAATCCAACATTGTCTGAAGCTCGTAAGTGCTGAGCTGGGCCATGAGACTTCGAGAAGGCCTGTGG